AAATTAAAATAATCTCCTTTATAATTAATTAATAATTATATACTATAACTAATTATTTAAATTTTAAATTACTAAGTACTTTATAATAATAATTAATTATATTCTTAATATTTAACTTAAGCCGTAATATAAAAAACTCGTATTTCTTTAAGTTAACTAAATTAAGTATTTTAGTTACTTAATTACGTTAATTATTAAATTTTTATATATAAGTATTAAAGTATAAGTCTATTACTATATAAGTAATTTTAAAGCCGTATTTAATAAATTAATTATTTTTTAAGTAAGTTAAGTAGCTATAATTAGTACTTATTTAACCCGTTACTAAGTTAAGGTATTAAATATTATTATAAGATTATTTTAAAAAAAGGTATATCCGTATATATACTATAATACTTTTAAATAACTCTTATAAGAACTTAATATGCGAAGTAAATAGCTAAATTTAAATTTATTAAAAAAGCCGTTAAAAAAGTATATATATTACTTAATTCGAATTACTTATAAACTATTTTATTATTATATTTTTTAATAATATATTAAAAATAGTATTTTAATATTATTAAAAAAGATCTATTTATATTAATTTTAATAATACTTAGAGCTTATTATTAATAATAATACTTCTATCCCTTTATTTAATTTTTTATAAGTCCGAGGTAAGGGTTACTTATAGGGCTCTATAATAAGTATTATAATAGTTATAATAAGTAAGTTAAAAAAGCTAGTTATTAATTAAAGTACCTCTTCTAAATAAGAGCTTTTTATATTTAAATATAAAGAAGTTATTAAATATATAAAAGTAGTATTTATATTAATATTATTCCCCCCGACGGAGCAATCCGCCGGGGCCGTACTGTATATTACGTATTAAAGAAAACTAGGTATATTACGCTCTATACCTAACTACTAATTAAAATAGCTCCCGACTTTCCCCCGCTTCTAGCCGTTTAGAGGGCGAGCTATACCTACTCTAACGTATATAAAACCTCTTAGTACTAGCCCGCGTAAATAATTAGATTTTATATTATATACTCTTTTTTATTAAGGGTTAGGGGGCCCCTTATATATTCCCTTATATTTATAATATAGCTTATATTAGAAAGATTTCTAATTTTATAAAATATAATTTCTAAGCTAGTATTAATATACTAGATCTTAACGTCTATATTAGCCTAACTATTTATAGTATTCGTACTATTACTTAGCTAAATTCCGTATTATTAAAAAGTACTTCGCTACTTTTTAAACGTATTTACGTTAATTATAATAACTATAATATTAAGCTAGTTAAAGAGGGCGCCTAGCTTAAGAGGGGTAAACTTATTAACGGGTATTTTTAAAGAGTTTTAGCTTATTAATTACTAATTATATACTAAGAATAGAATAAGTTCTCGTCGAGGTAGTAGTTTATATATTAATAGGTTTATTTAGTAAATTTATTTAATAAATTTATTTAGTTCAAATAGAGAGTAGCTTTAGGTAATATTAAAAGCGATAAGGATAAAAAGAATCTTTACGAGCTCTAGTATAAGTAATAAATATTAGCCTATTTAGCCCTTTTTTTAAAAACCTCTATATTATTATTAAAGTTTAGAACCTCTATAGTTAAGGGCCGCTTTTAATTATTATAACTAACTATTATAACTAATTATTACGGCTAACTTCTACTATCGACCTTTCTAACTAGCGCCGCCGCAGGGTAGCTTACCTATCCTAAATTATATAGCGGTTTTTATATTAAAATTACTATATTACGTTAAGCGCGTACTTAGGGTATATTACGTATATTATATAGTTAAAAAGTATACTATATTATATAATTTCTTTTAAAAGCGTAATCTTATTAAGGTCGATCTTTTATACTTATAAAGCTAAAAAAAAACCACTATATATTAATATTATTATTATTAATAATACTTTTAGCGCTAAGTAAGGCTACTTTTACTTAATAAGGTCTTAAGATTATATATAATTTTAATATATACGAGCTTAGTATAAAAATATAGTAAAAGTATTAATAAGTTATTATTAACGAGGTAATTAATATAGTTAATAATAATATAATTAATTTTATAAGGGCTCCTCGGTTATTAATACTTATAAAGTCGTAATTTTAATTAATTAGTAATTTTATATAATTAGACGTATTATAAAATCTAACTAATAACGATTATATTTATAATATTAATCTTATAATAAAAAGTAAAATAAATAGACTTATTAATAAGTACGAGGCTAAAGGAGAGCACGAGGTTAAAATAAAAGAAGTTATTAAATTATAAACTATAGGCTATATAGAGTAATTAATAGTTAATTAAGTAGTTAATTAAGTAGTTAATTAAGTAATTAATTAAGTAGTTAATTAAGCTACTTTATTAATTATAACGAATTAGACTAATTCGTTAATTACCGTACTTTTTATTAAAATAATTTAATTAATTATAAGTTAATTAACGGCCTTTAATTAGTCTAATTTATTTGAATACTAACTACGTAGAGCCTAGCTTATGTATGTGCCCGAGACTGGCGGTCGTGTGGCGGCCGCAGCCACACTTGGTGGCAGAATAGCGGGAGCTGCTGGCAGAATATCCTCGCCCTTGTTTTATCCAGCTCGAGGCTATCGCGTGGGTCCCGCGATCGAGATCTAGCATCACACAACACAGAACGATTCCTCTACACCTTGGTTTCTTCCATTTTCATTCCCCGCAAGCTATCATCAGGCGGAAGTAAACCTTGAATTTTCTGCGAGAAATTCGAGAAGCGTGTGAGCGGTGCTGCGATTAGGGTATCACCACCACCACCACCACTCTTTTCCCCTCTCGCCTTGACATTCGCCTTATCTGCAAGCAGACTCAGCTGCTCAAACTAAGAGAGCCGTCAGTCACGCAACGTCCTGCATCTTTCTTGTCACCCGTCAAACTTCATTAACCGCGCAGTAGGCATGCACACCTCACACTAGAGACGAGAAGATGAAGGTTGCGAAAAAAGTGTAGATCAGGGTTTTTCATTCCGCCCTTCATAGCGGTTGCTTCCAATTATGCACCTAAAAATCTGTGTGTGTGCCCCGAATTCCCATATGTCCCCCCTCCAAAGATGCCCGTGTGCCACATCCTTTGGAAAAGATGGAAGAAATGCTCCAAGACCCAAATTACCATCCAAATTGACGGGTATTGTGCAAAACTCCCATACACCCATGCATGCTGTTAGAAATAACCTCCTACCAGAGGGCGGCGTATACCGAAAGAGAGGAAGGAAAAGAAGATAGGAAAGTAAAAAGTGACGATAAACCTCCCAATGCAGATAGAATATGCTTTACCCCAGGAACGCCGTGAAATGCTTGATGCTTGTGAAAATCACCAGTCCCTCACTCCAAAGAGGGCAACAGGAACCGGACCTTCTTCTTCTGCTTCGCAGCCTGTACGTCTCCGCTCTTGTCCGGACACGCCGTCGCGTCTTCCTCCCTCTCGTCCTCCTCCGTGTCGCTCACGGCGCCGACGCTGCTTCCCATCTCGCTCAGGAGCTCCTCCTCCGTCTCCTCCTCAATAGACCAAACGTCCGGGCTCGGCTCGCGCCAGACATGCTGCGGCCGGTGGTGCCGGTACGACGTCGTCCTCTGCCGGCCCCGCCCGCCGCCTGGTCGCACAGGTGCTCGGCCCCGGGTAGGCGGGAATGACGACGGCGAGAGAAGCACGTTGTTGTCCGACGGTGATTGCTTAGAAGGGCGGGACTTTGACTTGGCCATAGACTTGAGCCCGTCGATGGCGAAGTCGCGCAGGCTAAAGGGGATCATGAAGCCGTGTGGTGCGAAGCGGATGTAGTCTTCCTCCTCGTCGTCCGTGTCCGGTGTGGCGAGATCCGAGAGGTCGGGTACAGGCGGCGACTTGCTACGGCCCTTTGACTTGTCCAGGCCGTCCAGGCTTGAGGGGCTCACGCTGCGGACGATCTCGCGCTCGCTGTCGTCTTCGATGCCGGCGTCAAAGTCCATCATGGTCATGTCGTCCTCGTCGTCATCCTCCAGATCGGGCGCGGGTGTGAGGAAGTAGGTCAAGGGGTCCTCGTCAATGTCGTCGAGAGATGGGTAGTCCTTGGGAATTGTAGGGGCGAGGCGCACCAGGGTTGGTGGCCATGAGTCTCGCCGTGAGGGTGTCTTTGGTGTTTGAGGCATCGCGCCGGTTGTTTGTCAAATTGGTATTGGTTGTGTATTGGTCTTGATAGTTGCGGAAACAGGCGTCTGAACAGTAAAATCACTGACAAGACGAGTCAAGTCCTCGCCGGTCTGCGCCGGCTCAAAAGTATACCAAACGAAGCGGCAAGTAGCTTGATCTTGTCTGTGGTTTCAGCAATGATATGATGCTGTAAAACGTGACAGACCGAGGTGAAGGAACACGAGCTGGAGGCGAGGCGGTGTACTCGTACTTATATGTTTCCATCGCAGCCTCAGCCAGGCAGAGGATGTGCAAGGCGGACGTTATCCGACACTGCCTTCACCTACCCACCCACACACGCAAGCACGCACGCACACCGACAAGGTTGCAGGCTGGCTGGTGATTCGGCTCAGTCACATTAACCCAGCCAAGAGCTGCCTTGTATGGCTGGAAGATGGTGGTCACCAGTGCCTATTGCCCAGTGCAGAGGTCTCAATATCGCGGGGCAGCCAGCCACCATCAACCCCCACGTGAAAGAGGCCTATGAGGAGCGTGACTCCTCACCCGCCATGAGTGTCTGGGAAAAAGCTGTGCAGTGTCTCCAAATGGCCGGGGTGCGACCAGAAGCAGAGATACGCATCCGGAAATGGTGGTAAGCTGAGGCACCGGGCTGGGATTCGTATTGAAATCTATCACAATTCCTGGCAGACCGCAAGGAAATCCGGTCTTTTGGTTGCTTCGCGTTCCTCCGTGTGGGTGTGTCGACCGGCGCGCGACTACCGCGGCTTATATGAATAAGCTGAGACAGATTTGCAACCACCACACGTATTGGTCGGAGGCCGAGTCAGGCAGATGACTACCTTGCCCACCATAGCGCCAACCGAACGTGCCGATTCCCTCAGTGTGCAAAACCACCGTCGCTTAACCGGTGCGCATTTTCGAGGCCATGGACCTGCAAGCAAGGAATGTGCAAGACAGCTGTCGACTAGACTGGCCAAGGGACAAGTTTTTGATCGCCCTCCCACGCTTGCTAGAGCGGCTGGCGTACCTTGCATGACGCCTCCGAGTGGCGCATTTGAGTCAGCTCGACAGACCGGCCTCACACCGCACTGCAGATTGGACAAAAGGCAGCCAAATTCCGATGATTCCTCGGTGAAGTCGGGAGCCTTTGCTGCTCGCACCCTCGCTTCGGCCAGTCGCCCATCCGAATCCTGCACCACCCTCAGCCTCAGAAATGGAAGATCGCCACGGTGCATGAACCGCTGCGAGATGGGCATGCAGCACACTCGTCTTACGGCTATGAGGCCTCTGACCTCTCCAACCTTCCTGACTTCTCCGAGAAACCCCCCGAAACCTCGCGAAATACGAAGCAGCTCGAATGAGGCCCGTATTGAAGTGGAAATGTCGATAGTTTGTCCGAATAACCCTGGTTTCTTTCCAAGGTCCTGTCTTGACTTAAAACAAGTCAGCTGGTTGCCCGACTGTGTACACATTGCGTCATGACTTGGATTTGACAAGAGCGGACGAACATCTCCTAGAACCGTAGCCGCTGCCATCCCATGAGGCCTGAATCACGTCTCGAAAAATGAAGTCGGGCAGCGGGCCGTGATAAGAACGTGACTGGTTTGTGGGTCGTCGTGCTGGTATCAGCCCGCCGCGCAAAGACGCTTGCTGGGAGAGGCCGGCTTTTTGGGAAAGCCTGGATGGATCGTCTGACACCAGGCTGCCCTAATTATCCTAAGATGGTGAGTAATCGACCCGCAAGGCAGTGAGACTGGACTATTGTCTGCGCCAGCTTACCTTACCTAGCTGCTATTCCCACGTAAGAACGCCATTCAGAGTCTCGGGACGTTGAGATGGAGGGAGGGCTGGTCGCGCTTCCAACGAGAATGCGGAGATAAGGCTTGGGGGCCGTGGGAGTGTGTGACAGCTTTCGAGCTACCTCGCAAAAGACTGGTGACTGGGAAGATGGACGTTTCCAAGGCATTCCATCAGATACTGGCGCCATCAATTAGCGGTGAAGGCATCAGCCGGAATGCCAGGCCCCAATGTGAAATTTGACAGATTGGAAACCCGCCGTCTCAATTTGTCTTCTTGCCACGGTCCGTGGCGTGAATCCACTACCGTATGTTTCGAGGCTGATCTAAGCGGTAGGATCGTGGTGGTTGCGCCGATATCTGTAGGTTGGCTGGTTGGTCGGTAGGCATGTAAGGTAGGGACCGAAAATGGGCTGGCTGCTCAGCTTGGAATTCCAAAGAGGAAGATCCGGGGGAGGCGAAAATACCTTCTTACCTTGCCCAGCAGACCCCGGATCGCCAAAGAATGCAGGAGCTTGGGCCATGGCCGTTGCTTCCTTCCCCGCCAGGTTCCAGAACCAGCACGTGACCCACTTGCCAGCCGGGGGTCGGGGCGGGCAGGTGCTGGGGCAGCCGCAGGGCAGGAGATGGGGCAGGAGGATGCCTGCTCTTTCCATCTCAAGTAAAGCGAGCTTCAGCTTTGTTCCAACGTCAAAGATCCAATTCATCCAACAGCACCACATCATCTCAGAATATTGCCGAGTCAGGGAACACTCATCCGACTTCTTGTTGCTCTTCGCGCCCATCACCTTCCCCTGGGCGTTCTGCCGTCAACTTCTAGTCTCCGCAGCTAAGGCGCACGGCCCCGGCCTACTGTCAAGCTCCCGCTGTCCAAGTTTGTTTGTACAACACATCTCAAGTTCTCTCACAGCTCGATTGATCGTCTATTGCGCAGTCATCATGCTCGTCAAGCTTGAAAATACAAAGTCGGCAGCGGCAAGTTCTATGGTGCTCCGCCTAGTGAGCCAGAACGTCCGGTATGCAACAACGAAACCCACTCCCAATGAGAGACCGTGGAGCTTTCGGGGACCGAAACTCTGCAACCAATTGGACTTCCTCACGACTGGCCACGAGTCAGCATTCATCTGTCTGCAAGAAGTCCTCTACTCTCAACTTGAAGACATCCAGTCTTACCTCGGTCCTGCTTGGGGACATATAGGTCTCGGTCGTGATGACGGCAAGCGAGGTGGCGAATTCTCACCAGTCTTCTACCAGGTTGGACGTTGGCAGTGCGTGCGGAATGAAACTCTTTGGTTGAGTAAGACACCAGAAAAGCCATCTAGAGGATGGGATGCCGTACTGAACCGTGTTGTTACCGTCGGGGAGTTTCTCGATAAACAAACATACTCGCGTATCGTTGTCATGAGTACGCACTTCGATCATATTGGAGTTGTCGCTCGAGAGCAGAGCGCCAAACTGCTTCTCAACGTTGCTCGAGAGTGGAGCAAAGGAGCGAACGGAAAACCTCCGACAACCGTCCTGCTTGCGGGTGACTTTAACAGTACCCTGGATGACAATGCCTACAAGACAATGGTGGCGCCGGAGTCAGGCATGGTCGATGTCTCAACTCAGGTTCCTAAAGCGAAGCGATACGGAAACGATATCACGTACACGTCGTTTGACGAGCCTGATGAGAAGCCGAAGAGAATCGACTTTTTGTTTGTGAAGGATCCGAGCCCAGCTACCATCAAGACATTTGGCGTGCTATCGAACAAGTTCGATGACGGCGTTTATCTGTCTGACCATAGGCCAGTCGTCGCCGACGTTGAGATTCCTGTCTTACGAACGGCCAGCAATACCTTCTAAAACAATACTACACGTCAATCGTGGCTTGGATTCAGAATCGTGGACCCCCGTGCAACGTCACGCAAATCAGCGGCGTAGAAGAGGCAGATCTGGACCTGCCCGAGTCTCCGAGACAAGCTCCCTGCATCTCCAGCATTCCAAGGTCTCGACGTCAAATGAATTCGACTGGCGCGCAGGAGCTGGACAACCGCTCGGCATCGAGTGATAGGATCTCGCAGCAACAGGCTATCGACGAGTCGATGTACACGGCCGACGACGAGTGGCGTTGCGTCATTTTAAGCCTCCAAGGTCAGTCGATATGGCGTTCGCATACGGTACGATCACAACGGTATTACCTTCCGGAATCGCTGCGTATTATATTGTATACGTTTGTCCTATCTCTGCCATACGGCTTCAATGCGGCAGGCCATGTCATGTTCTACCTACCACTGTGGCGCGTTGGGATCGCTTTCAACGGTGGCGTTGAGGGATTATGCCTCAAGCGAAAAGGCGGTGTGGCTCCGAGATGGTGTCGAGTTCCTCGCTCCACAACCAACAACCGCCTATCGATCCGTCCGCCTCGGATATGTCGACTTGTCAGTCCATCGCGTCTTTGCAGCAGCGTCCGCTCTCGGCTTCATGCAGTTCGAGCGTGCAAGAGTGGCATATCGGACAAATGGCGGGCTCGCCATACTAGATAATTTGCAAAATTGCTAAACAAATGCAATCGTGGCGTGCATCAGATCTGAAGATCTGGATGGATACATACACTTGAAGACGTTCGTCAGAACCGTGTCCTCGGCCTCCGCATTTCTAATCACACAAACTATGCTTCTCTGCATACAATTCGTAATGACGATGTCTTTGACCGTGGTCATTGACTGGTGCGGCAGCTCTGCACAAAACACAAAGAGACTCAAATGTTGATGGTCGGAGGCACTTGACTGCAAACGAGCTCAATACAGAGCTCATCCATTCTCCGCAAGATACCGAACCGAGGATCCTAGCGACCCGTTCATTACCTTGGATGCGACGATGCTCCACTTCTCAACGAGGATAAAACCAACTTTGACTAGCTTCCTCGATAAGACGGAGCCACGAGAGGCTCCGGGAGGGCCTCACTCGAACCCATTTCGGCATGTCCTCGCGCTAGACGGATTTTATGCACAGCGGGCGCTGGTATACGGTGATGATGCCTGTGGGATGGGTGCATGTCATGCAGCCGGAATACGCAGTTGCGTACAGCGTGTGGAGGACGGTCTAGGCGCCAGCCAGGCAAATTGTGAATCGCACATGTTTCTTCATGTCACCTTGCCTTTGGACGATTCAGACTTGGAGTACTGCGACGGTATCAGACCGCGGCAATCTACTTCTACGCAGAAGAATGGAGGGGGAGACATTTCAGTACAGTACAATTGGAGAATTTGAAGTACATCATCTGGCTGATGTGGACGGTCCTATCGGAGCTGATAGTGCGGAGTTCGAGACCACCTTCGACTTCGAGACACAAATCCAAGAGGCGAGAACAACGCTGTCATGGCGACACGTCGTTCAGAGTCACATTGAGAACAAACTCCAGTGACTTGACCACAACAACAACATGATGTCGATCTCGAGTCCGTGTACCGCGGTGACGCTATTCCTGCAAACAGTGTCGTTCTTGCAGCGAGATCGGTACCTACTAAAGAGGGACCAGGGCATCGTACCCCAAGATATCCGTACGCAGCTCTATCAGACGCATACCCTACAGACAGCAAGACGCGGGGAGACAGATCTAGACGGGCAACACTGCAGGAATTCAGCATCGTGATGCCATCTTACATGGCTTCGTTCAACAATTACAAGGGACTAATTTGTGCTTGGACAAGTTGGCCACGGACAGCAGCCATTCAAGTCCGAGATGGAGCGATGACTCCCATTGCCGTCCCGGCCCCGCCCTATGAGAAAAGCGAGCGGGCCCGGACTGCATGAATCTGCATTCCTGACCGGGTGGGTCGGGCCCATGATTGGGCTTTCCGGCGCAAGTGCGTTGGCGATGCGGTGCCGAAGGGCGATGGGGTTAGTTCTGCATTATGTGCAGACTTTGCTTCAAGCTTGTCAACCATTTGAAGGCGCCCGGTTGTCTACCTACGCTACCCAGGATGACAACGAAACTTTTGAAAGTACAGGAAACGTCTCCTGATGTTTGGTTCGCGCAAGCTCCGAGTCGTCAACCACCTCGACCACCTCATGGGGCGCGCACCAGACTAGGGACTGTCTCTCGGTCGATCACCTCACCAATCCTGAGAACCTTCCTTTTGTTTCTTTTTCTCGCCCACCCCCAAATATCTTAACCGAAGTCGAAAACACGTTTTGGTCAAAAGAAGAGAGAAAAAGGGTCTGGCAGGCCGCAGAGCGCGGCAAACGATTGGATGCTCGTGGTGTCGTTCGTCAGCCCGCTTCGCTGTTGATACCCAAAGGCCAAACCCAGCCACAAGGTCGGGCAGTAAATCCAGCCATTTGATGGAGAAGTCGAAAAATCCCAGCCGAAAAGGGCACAACGCACCAGATAGCAACGCTCCGTCATCGTTGAGTGACACCCCCGCCTGGTTCGGCCCTGGAGGTGGATCTCCCGCGCACACGGAGACTCCCTCCACCAGCCAGATTTTAGCAGCACAGCGCAGCCCAAGGCAGCCGGCCCATCCTGTCTCATTCAGACAACTGGCAGAAGACTCAGAAAGCGTTGTTTCCCTCTCTTCTGTGGCCACACCCCCGTCGAGTACCTAGGTGTTCTAGGGCCTCCGTCGGTAGTTAGTACCTAGGCCAGCGTGAGGGAAGGGGTGGCTGTCGCATTCGAGAGTTCAATGGCGGCACGAAGAAGAAAACACTGCCATCGGGGCACAACGTAGAAAAAGCCCTTGGTCGGACACTCGCACAAGCAAAGCAGCTCTGCTGTCTGGCATCGCAACACATGGGCGGCGTACACGAACGTCAGCGCTACGACGGTAACGGAACATGGATCTAAATGGAAAGTTCAAGGTTGGGGCACTTTGTGCTGTGAAGAGCTTCCTTGTGGGCGCGGCGTCCACGGATTCGCAACACCCCAGCAGGCCTTGCCAGGCTCTCGACCCCCGTTCGAGGGAAAATCCATTGCAACGGTCGCGGACGGGAAGAAACGAAAGACAAGGGCTTCTCCACAGTTGGGCCTGAGTGCTTCTGGCGCTCTGACCCGAAGCGGCGACGATTGGCACCGGCGCCAACGAAAAGCACCAACATCAGAGCCCCAGGGGACCGCCCAGTTCCCAACTTTGCGGTCAAATGCTATGTCGAAGGGGTTTCCCTGGTTTGACGCCGGTGCTGCGGATGAACCACAGCCAACAGAAGCTTCCTGGAACGAGACGAACTGGCTCGACGTCGGTCCAGTAGACTTTAGCTGAGTCCTTTCGACGGTCCTTGCTGCCACGCGGTGGAGCTTGAGGCTATTCTGTTAGCTCTAGCTTGTTTCTGATGTGGGTTGTCGCAGTTTTCCCACCCAGGAATCCCGACTCCCAGGACCCAGCGAGCGCCAGGAAGAAGAAAAAAAAAAGAAGAGTTCCCACAAGCCGGCAATCTCTGTCCTCCACCCATTTTTAGGCGATTTCGATACAGTTTGACAGGGAGAAGTGACGACAGCAAAGAAATTCCCTGTCCTCCTTGGGTCCCATGCTTCTCCAGACTCGCACACGTTCTTGACAGTCACAGACCCTGGCATTTCGACTGTGCAACTTGGGAGAGACGTTGCAAAGCTGGGCAGCACCAGTAGCCCGTCTCCTCGCACACCCTCTCTGTCTGCCTCTCCGTCTCTCTCTCTCTAACGTTACAGGCCTGTCCTCCGTCTCCCGCAAACCATAGTCCGTTCCAGCGCTCCCGTCCGCCTCGGATAGTCGAGAATCAAAGCCGGAGCCAAGTCTCTAGATCCATCAGAGCTCTCACAGCCATTTGCGGACTCAGGCACACGCCCCTCCTCCTTCACTCGAGGCAGTTGTAGTGCTTGCTATCATCGAGCGCTGGCCGGTCATTGGAGTGACACTGGACGAGCGGCAGAGCACCCCGGGCAACGAGAAGACCTCATCCGCTGTCAGGTCCTTTTTTTGCTGTGACCACACCCCTCCATCGGGTCGTCAAATTCAGGGCCGTCCCCGCGATTGGCCTTCCTGTAGGCTATTTTTTCACTTGTGGTGCTGCGAATGAGTTGCTGGGCTGCGCACACACCTCGCTCGCCCTCCCCTCCCTTTGCTCCGGACTCTTCCTCCCACGGCGCGACAGTCATTACACTACAATTGCAACTGCACGCACTCACGCTACCTGTCCTATCCGTACGAAGGAAGTACCTTACCTGCGATGCAAAGCATAGGTCGGATGAGGTACCTAGGTAGGCAGGGCAGGATTAATAAGACAGCACGCTCGTCCACAGCCCGCCCACGGCCACGGTCAGCCGTCGTTTTCTTGGATTATTCTCGATCCCACGTTGTATACAACGAAACACAACAACAGATTCGACAAATATCATATCTCTCCCTCGTCCGCGCTTCTCCTGACGATCCATAATACCTCAACTACCCTTACTCTTCTGACAACCTAGGTAGCCAACAACGAACAACGAGTAACCTGGCCGCCCTCGCACACCCAGCCAGCATCAGCACCAGCATCCGCAGCGTCTCATTTTCTCCCACACCCAATTTCCACGCCCCCCTCATCCTGGTCGGATTTTCATCCCCACAAATACGGGCCCTCCCTCCATCAGATAGTGGTCGCATCCCCTTCCGCATCCCCACTGCCTTTCTCGTCCGCCCTTTATACAAAAAAGTTCCCGATTCCCACCGCAGCCAAGTTCTTTCCCCCCAGTTCACCACACCTTCGATCACTTGCTACGAACCTACGATTGCTCGCCTCTGTCGAGGCACCTTTGCCTCTTATCACCAGTCGCTCGACTACCGAGCCAACGCAAACACACCATAGCCCATTACGACGATCGACACCGCTTCATCATGGCCCCTAGGAAGATTGTTGCCCACTGCGAAGACGTCGACGAGGAGACTGGCTCCGTTATCCAGGGCTCCGACAAGTATGCCCAGTCACACGCACCAGGAAGCCCATCAAGAGAGAAGGCAAACAGCGGCAAATCTCGCAATAAGGACAGGATGACGAGACCAATCTCCGCCTCCCCGCAATACGGCCACACCGACTCGGACGATACCGTTCACCCCGCTATCCCGGACAAGAAAGTGAGGGACAAGAGACGATCTGAACAAAAAGCTGCTGATCGAGCCGCCGAGAAGCTCGCCGAGAGGGCCGCAAGGGACGAGGCCGCCCGAGAGCAGGGTCGTCGAGAGGAAAGACACCGTCTCAAGAAGGAGCAGGAAAAGGCTTCACGTCGCGAACAAGAACGCCTCGAGCATGAGCAGCGCGAACGAGAGGAGCGTCACCAGAAGCGCGAGCGATCCGCCGCCAAGAAGTCCGCAACCCGTCCCTCCACAAAGCACGTCAACACGGCCCCCGTCGTCCACACCCAGAAGACCGCCCAAAAGCCAGATGAATACAGAAGACCACGTTTTACGGAAGAAGAATCCTCGCAGTACGGTGTACAGCAGCCGGCACAGGCACAGGGTGCGCGTCCCCGAGCTTCAAGTCGCCCTGCCAGCTACTACGGCCAAGGCTCCCGACCACCTACCTCCAATAAGCAATGGCATGCCGCGAACAACGCTTCGCCCTTCACTCCGGCCCCGAACCCATCGCCATTTGCACCATCGATCCACGCACCGCCTTCCTCTCATGCCTCGTCGCCCTTTACTCCCGCTCCTATGCCGATTCCCATCCACCCATCACCGCATGTGCAGTCGCCGTTCGCACCCGCACCTGGCGCCTCGTACACCCAATCGCCAGGCCCCTGGGGCCCCGGAAGTGTTCCTTACCCTATGCAGGCGCCGCACCATCCGCCTCCGCCGCCGTCGAACGATTACTTTCCGCCTACCCCTGTGGCGAGCAGCCCCCGACACTCAAACCTGGCCCAACGCTTCCAACAGAGGCCTTCGTCGGCCATGGGACACCGGTCCATGTCAGCGTCTACCTTCGAGTACGACAACTACGGGTACCATCCTAGCCCTGTCCACGCCCACGCCCACCCACATGGACCCGGCCCTACCTATGAGCAAGAGAATATCCCCATTGGCAGACGGCCATCTCTCAAGGTTCGGGACAGAGACAGAGACAGCGACTTGATGCCGCCGCCGCCGTTCCCCCGCTCACGAACGACTGCCCCTCAGCAGGCTTTCCGTCCCCCGCCTCAACCTCATCCCCAGCAGCGACAGATCATGTCTCAGGGCTATGACTCTGATGATTTCGATGGCGAAGAATCCATGTACCAGGAAATCGTTCCCCATGGTTACCAATATGACGACGGCGTTGTTGCCAGGCCCCGTGGTCACCGAAGGGGTTCCAGCACGTACAGCCATCGCGCATATCAGATCGAACCTGCTCCTGCTCCCGCGCCCGCCCGCAGTAGCCGCCGCCATTCGTACATGGCTGGCGGCGAAAGCGGTAGCTACTCGCAGTCCAAGTATGACTCCGCCGAGGCTGCTGCTATGGCCTACCAGAACGGCGTAAGCGGCGGCGGCGGTGTGCCTTTGACTGCTGCGGCCCTCTCAAAGGCTGGGAAGAAGAGCAAGAGCAGCAGGTCCAGTGGAAGTAGCGACAGCCGCGACGAAAGCGACTTCCTACGAAGCGCCACCACGCGGACCACTCGGTCTTCTGCCATTGACGGCGACGACATCACCATCAAGGTTACGGGTCACGCCGTCCTGCGAGTTGGCAACGCCGAGATTCAGTGCCAGGATGGCGGCGAAATCAACATCAGCCAGGCAGCACGCATTGCTGGTGGTAGTGATAGGGATACCGTCTACTCCGATGAACGCCGCAGCCGCATTGACCGACCAGCTATCCGTGATCGATCCGAAAGCCGGACCGACTCCTATGCTCGTAGCCAGGCGGACGAGTTCGAGCAGTTCCGCATTCCGTTTACCTAAATCGAATTGCAACGACAATGACGAGTTGATGAAGCGACGCACTTTTGTTTTTCACTTTGCACGGTTTCATTAGAGCGAGCGTTGTTTCTGCACTTGGAACTCAGATTGAAAGCTGTATCGATATGATTGGCTTCTTATTTCCATTTCTCTTTCTTCTTTGCTTCTGCAACTGCTTAGGTCGACTTTCTGGCAGCGGAAAAGTTTATACCCAAAGCAGAGGCTGTCGCGAGCTCTGCTCCTTTATCTTCATATTTTCAAGCATCTTTATACCATTTACAGGACGAATCATGTATGTGCCGATTATGGCTGTGCGGCCCGGGTGAGACCCGCGGGCGTTTTGAATTTTGTAGGGTCGGGACACGATAATGAGTTGTGTTTTCTGGACATATGCGGAGACTTTTCCAGTCTCCTAACCCGGAAGGAGTCATGGGTGTCGTGTTTCCTTTAGCGCACGACATCCGGACTGGACGATTTTGATAGACAACCTGTATCGGCAATCCGGGAAGTTCGCACTTCTTGTGCTTTTAGGGAGAAGGGTATTCGGCAAATTGTTACGCTCAGTTAGCTACCTTGCGCGGTTCTGTTTTCTTCTTCTTCATTTCTGCTTAGAGGACATTGTTAGCAGGATACCATTGGGATGGGTTCGGCTGCCCCCTCCAAAGCCACGGGCATGGGGCGTTGTTGGAGACTACAAAAGGACGTAGTTCATTCAGGGCCCCAGCCTTTTGGGACGGGCAGGTAAAAAGGGGAGTGGTTTTGGAATGTCAATGGGGGCTATTATGGTGTATGGTATTTGGTAGCGGATGAACTACCCATCTCATTTCCCTATTCTAGCGGCAAGGATAAGATACCCCTAACATGGCTGAGCCGTGTAGGCCGCATATGAAATAAACATGTCGTTGGAACAACAACTCTATCGTTTGCAACGTGCTTAATTGTCTCGCGATTATGGTGCCAGCGGACGTTGAATGATGATCTTTGTACGTTCACGCCCCTCCTTCCATTTTAACACGGAGGACCGCCGGAGTCAATCACTTGCCCGTTCCGGGCATCCCGATGAATAGGGAGACTACACTCCAGACTGCTTCTGGAACTCTACGGACTCAGTGACTGTATGTATTTCTGCTCTCCTGAGCTCTTGCAAGACCAATAACAGCAAGGTTCGGACACTCAATTGGTGAATATAATCCCTCCCCCCTGGATATAAGAACGAAGCTTCCGGGCATGTTCAGCGTCTAGCTGTTGGCGCCGGCGTTGTGATACAGATTTGAAACGGGGTGGATTAGTTCACCTGTTGGGGAGGAGGCCTTAGAGGGTGGTCGCTTGGAAGGCCCTGGAGGATTGGTCTGAGAAGACGGGCCATCTTTCTCTTCTTTTCTTCTCTGCAGTGACATTTTCTTTGAAGTGTGTTTGGTACGGATGCTCGTTAACTCAGGTAGCTTATTTCTGGATGGCTGGATATGGGATGGGGGGCGGAAGGGAACATGTCACTCGGCGCGTGTTGGGAATGAAAGCGTTCGAACGGATGTGGATACCGCGTGCGCTGGCTCCCGCGCGGCGGGTACGGGAGAACCCAACGGTTCGAATGGAATGGCCCCATTGTCCGTTGTCCGTTGGTGTTCCCATTTTTTGTGACACTTGCGGCTTTGGCCCTGGATGGTGCCCGACGATTCACGAAAGGGGATAAGGGGGTACATGGTTTGGCGTGATTGGGTAAGGTGAGTGAGGTGTGAATGAGGTGAGCATGGTGGATGCGGTTGCTGGGCTGCGGGTGGGGTCTGTTTACTTTCGACGTCATTGGGACGGGAGGCTGGGAGAGAGCAGGCGCGATGGGGTGCTGGACACTATTTCGCTAACACAGAATACGGCCTCTGGAGGTCGCATCGGGTTGCACACGAATCGAAGGGCCAAGCTATTTGTCCGTAGTCAGTGTTTTTTCTCCATCCTACAAGGCCATTTCACCTTGGAGCACTGGGCAGGCGCAAAAAAAAAAGTCCCGAGAGAGAGCAGGGAAGCGACCCCCAGGCAGATTCCCCCACCAACCACCTCACTTGTTCGCGCACATCCCCCAGCCACGGCAATTTCTGGTTTCTATAGGAACAAGCCTTCCGCCACCACGCGGCTGGCCAGGCAACTTTCACCTCTTACCTTGTCCGCATTCTTCACCTTTTCGACATTCCACCGGGAGAATAGAGTGCGTATTACCCATTCTCTGACTAGGGTGGACTGCAGAAGAAGCATTCCCTTTACAGCATCCACAACCACACATTCCAGTCTCACCTCCATCATCGCTGGTTCTGCCAGCAATCGTCAACCACTACCCAGATTTCATACCGAAAAAGCTTTTTTACCACGTACCTCGGCTTCAACTGAAGTCCACCTTGCCAATCATGGCTCCGGCCGTCGTCAACGGCCTGGCGCACCAAGCCCGCTCCTTCATCGCGGGCAGACGACTCTCGAGCCTCCCCGACCCAGCAGACATCACAGCCCGATCAATCGACGCGGGCTCCGTCGGGCCTCTCGCCGCTCGCTCCCTCCTCCTCGCCCGCGATAGCACGGGATACAAGGAGGACCCCCACGTCGGCGTCACCGACCCGGGCAACATCAACAACACGGCCATCTTTGTGCTGTTCGGCCTCATCGGCGCCGCTTTTGTCATCACCGGCATCTGGTTCTTCTTCTGGGCCCGCAACGGAGGCTTCTACTTCAAGGACAACGACTGGGACGACTACAAGACGACGGTGCTCCGCCGCAGGGGTCCCAACGGCACTCTCCTGTCCGGCGCCACCAAGTCGACCAAGCTCGGAGGCGGCAGCGTCTACAAGGACTACGACGACAACCAGACGAGCATCTCGGGAACTACCTTGTCAGGCATCACGGCGGGGCCTAGCGACATCGGCGCCCGTGAGAAGCGCGAGCGCAAGAAGGAGAAGAGACGCAGGGAGAAGGAGGCCGCGCGCCACAAAGAGAAGGCCTCGTCCCAGAACTACGACGAGGCCGGCGTGCTCATTGACGAGGAGGCCGAACGCGAGGCCAAGAAGCATCTCCGCTCCTACCGCCACGAGAAGCCCGCCCGCGTCGGCGGTCTGAACAAGGAGTCCGAGGCGTCCGAGTGGGACGGCTCGACGAACCCTACCGAGTCCAACGTCTCAACCAGCTTGTTGTCAGGCCAGCAGACCACGCCGACGTCGACGCCCCACAAGAAGAGCGGTCACGGTGGTATTCGCAAGGTGTACAGCACGGCGGACCGCAACGAGGAGCGCGAGCGCCAGCGCATCCGCGCCGAGGCCAAGAAGCTGCAGGAGCGGGGCCGGGCTGCGGGTAGCTCGAGGCGCGACTTCAGCTTCCAGCGGGCGAGCACGGTCGCCGAGGACCAGAACACGCGCGGCTACGCGCTCCCGCCGCCGAGGGAGGAGCCCGAGCCGAGTATGCCGGGCAGCTGGGCCGAGAGCGATATCACGAGCGCGCTGGAGAGCGATGTGGGGAACAAGTCGTATCACCACGTCATTCCTGGCTTGAGCAGCCAGAGCGCCGTGAGCAGTGATTATGCGGATGAGAGGCGCAAGAGGAGAAAGGAGCGTCGTCACCGTGATCACTGAGTTATGATGGTCATGGCCATGATCCTGGTGATATTTACAAGTCACGGTTGATAGGATATGAAAGATGAAGAGCAAGTTTCACGAAATGAGGCATGATGAGTCTTGAATTCTCATCCGAGACTGCATGGACGATGGACGAAGGAAGTTGGGAGATGGATCATGGAGAAAAACAAACAAAGACACGAAATGAGTTTGAGTTGCGATTGGCGAGCATATTTTGAGAAATGCGGGCGTTTGGGGATTGCTTTGTGGTAATTTCTGGTATCGGGGACTTTGTGCCCTGCGGGATGGATGTGTAGAGTAGCAACGCGAGCAACGCGATCATGTAGATTGATGATTGGGCTGAAGCAATGAAATGAGGATTCAGTAATTGTGTTTTGCAGCTGTGATTATGGGTGATAATGATGGGGGGATTGTAGTGTTGAAGTGTGATGTCGAGGTGAGTTGTAATATTGAGGTTCGATGTTGAAGTGAAGCCAAGTGGGGTTTATGATGTGAGCGAGGACATTTGTAGTTGATATCGCCATTCGTCATCGTTGTTAACTCAAGGTTTGGAGACGGATACGGAATTCTTGGGTATGCTCATTCTAGCTTGAAATGTCTGGTTATACACCACGAAGCTTTGTATTCCAGGAACCTGATCTTTTCGTCTATAGCGGTGATAGATTTTGGCACGTTTCAAGCTTTGCTGTGTTCTGAGTCCACATGTGGTTTTGAAATACCGTTATCCGTGTCATTGAATGATTTCCACGCAGTCGGTCACTACTGCTATGTACGGATACTGAGGGAGGGGGGGGGGGGGTAACTTACCTGCCTTAAGCCTAATGGAACAGTGCGTTGACCGCCCCGTTCTAATATTATTTACTTGTAGAAAGAGGAAAAGATAGCCATGTTCTTACAACCCATGGTCTTATCTGGAGGTGTGTATCTGTAAGCTCGGCTCCCACTAAAGTATGAATGGAACTGTTTTCAAGTCCATGATGTTGCTGTGTCCGACCGAGTTCATTACTAATTGGTAAGCGGAACCTGCAGCGATAAAGTTTCCAGCCCCACGGTGTTCTAGGCGGGGGTTGCTGCACAACCTGAACGATGAGTTGGTGCCGGTAACCCATTGGATCCTTACAGGCCCGAGCGATCGCGGCAGCCGCCGGCCGCTGTCGGGGCGTGGAGGGGGAGGGGCGGGGACCCTTTTTTTCGGCGGGGTGGTTGGGAGGAACGACGCCGCGGGGTATTGACGGGTTGCTTTTTTTTTCTTCAACCTCCCTTTCCGCTCGCGCTCCTGTTTGCCTCTCGAACGATTCCGGTAGTCTGGAGTGGACCAATTGCTTCACTCGTACCAACGCGGAAAGTATATCATTCGCCAAGCAATTTTCGATCACTGTTCAAGTTTGTTGAGAGTGTTCTGGCGATTGTGAGCAGGGGTGGTTCGGAATCGGTGCCCCTCGTCAGAGGCACTTTGCGCAACACCATCGTCACTATCGAGCACACCAAACGCGGGAAAACTCAGAAATCTCACCGGCGTTCGAATCTTGGTGTGTGCAATTTGGGGAATTTTAACGCCGTTTCTTTTGGCGCAAGAATTACGCGCAGAAATCTGAGGGGGAAGGAAATAGGGGGAAGGAAAGCCAGACCAGCCAGCCATGGCGGACGACGAGCAATGGAGCGGCATGGAGAACACGGTTGACGATCCGGAGGAGACGAGGGTCATTTTCTGTGCCCTCGACTCATTTCTGTGAGTGGTTTATGCTCTAGTTTCTCTTCCTGTTCTGCAATTGGATGAGGGGACCACTGCTATATCACGGGTGAGTCCCGCAAGGCGGAAGAGATTCTTCACCCTGACGTGCCAAACGAACGGAACTCACCCTCACTCTTATTCTCATCTTCCTCACCACCATCACGACCTCAATCCTTTCAACTCACTAACCATCCTACAGCCAATACGCAAAAGTGGCACACTTCAACGTAACCCACCTCCGCCGCCAATCCTTCTACGCCCTGCCCCAGGCGCACTGGCAGATGCTCGCGGCTCCGCCCTTCAACTTCCTCGACACCCTCGAGCGCACCGACGACGCCATCGAGTCCAACGCCGAGCTCGCCCGCGCCATCGCCCACAACGGCCTGCGCTCCTTCCACCTCGTAGACGAGAACTCGACAGAGGAACCCAAACTGCCGGACAACTGGGTCGGCGTCGCAAAGCACGGCGACACCGACAAGGCGCGCAGCACCCTCCGCCAATTCTACCGCGACTGGTCCGCAGAGGGCGCGGAGGAGCGCAGCACATGCTACGGTCCTGTCCTTGGAGCCCTCGATCGCGAGCGCAAGGCCCGACAGTCGTCTTCTGCCACGACGACAGACGCCAACGTCGCTGCCGCGGAACCCCTGAAAGTCCTCGTCCCCGGCGCGGGACTGGGCCGCCTCGTCTTCGATCTCTGTCTCGACGGCCACGACGCAGAGGGCAACGAGATCTCCTACCACCAGCTCCTCGCCTCCTCCTACATCCTAAACTGCACGAAACAAGCAGGCCAACATAAAATCTACCCCTGGGTCCACTCCTTCTCCAACCACCGCACGCGCGAGAACCACCTCCGGAGCTGCGCCGTACCCGACATCCACCCGGCGACGGAACTCGCGCGGGTGCAGCAGCAGCAGCAGCAGCAGCAGTCTTCTGAACCGGGAGGTGCAGGAATCGGCAGCATGTCAATGTGCGCCGCAGACTTCCTCTGCCTCTACTCCGACGCCGAGCACGCCTCGGCCTACGACGCCGTCGCGACCGTCTTCTTCCTCGACACGGCGCCCAACCTCGTCCGCTACCTCGAGACGATCCACCACGCCCTCCGCCCCGGCGGTCTCCTCATCAATTTCGGGCCCCTGCTGTGGCACTTTGAGAACAACGCCCCCGGGAACCACGGGCGCGATACCGACGGTGACGGCGACCACGACGCGAGTAACTCGTCGGGTATTGCGGATCCGGGGAGCTTCGAGTTGAGCGATGACGAGGTCATGGCGTTGGTCGAGAAGGTGGGTTTCGTGGTGGAGAGGAGGGAGACGGGGATTGCGGCGCCGTATATCCATGATGGGGAGAGTATGTTGCATACCACGTACCGAGCGAGTTTTTGGGTGGCGCGGAAGCCGTTGTAGACTTTTTTTTTTTTTTGCTGTCTTGAACTCTCTCGATCTTCTGATTTCTTGGCTCTGTTACCAATCTGTACATATTGACGGGATGTAAGGGGTCAGCAGTGCAAGTCAACTGCATCACGGTAGCATGATAGACTCGAGGCAAAGGCAAAGTGAACCCTGATGGGAGGCAATTACATATTCTTGTTCAAAAGAGCAACACACCATCTACACAGCCTACTCAGAAGCTTCCTTACAACTTACTAGGAGGAACGTTCAACTCCCCCCTCTGCCACAACGACCCGCCATCAATAGCAATGACCTCCCCGTTAACATGCGAACCCGCGCGGCTAGCAAGGTACACCACCGCGCCCGCGATATCCTCCGGCCGTCCCAGCCGACCCATCGGGTTCCCCTTGCCAATCTTATCCGCGCCGCCGCCAATCTCCAGCAACCCGTTGGACATCTTACTCGGGAAGAAGCCGGGGGCAATGGAATTCACAGTAATCCCTCTGGGAGCAAGCTCCAGCGCCAAGTTGCGACCGAGGTGCAACACGGCGGCCTTGCTGGCGCTGTACCCATACGTGCCCTGCTTGCCCAGCGTACCGACCCCCAAGCCCGCAACAGACGCCGTGATGATAACCTTTGCCGGCTCGCCGCCAGCGCTCTTGTTCGCAGCCACGCTCTTCTCGAGCAGCGGGGTAAACAGCCGAATGGTGTTGAACACGCCCTTGACGTTCAAATCCATCACCTTGGCAAACGCCTCGTCCGGGTGGGTGTCGAACGCCTCGCCCCAGGTGGCGCCCGCGTTGGCGAACAGGATATCGACGCGGTCGGCGTGCTTCCTGACCTCGGCGACGAGGTGCTCCACGCCCTTGATGGACGCCGCGTCCGCGGGGACCGGGATCGCGACGGCGCCGGGCTGGAGGTTGGGCAGGGCGTTGAGGGCCTTGCATGCCTCTTCGCAGGCTTTGCCCTTGCGGGAGGAGATGAAGACTTTGGAGGCACCGGCTTGGAGGAAGCTGTTGTTTTTTTTCCATCGTCAGTCAAGGGTTTCTTTTCACCATGATCTTGTACGGATTAAAGAGCACACGCAAGAGAAGAGAAGGAGAGATTGAACGTACGCTGAGGCGGCGTGCAGACCAAGACCGCGAGAGCCGCCGGTGACGACGGCGACCTTGCCCTTGAGGGAGAAGAGGGAGGGAAAGTCGTGGAGCTGTGCTTCGGCCATTGCTGATGATTTCTCCGGGGTTCCTGTGATTCAATTGATTGTTTCAAAGGTTTCTAATGAAGAAGAGCAAGTTTAGAAGGACAGAAGGTCGGAAGATCGGAATAAAATGAAGAGTATGGGGGATGAAGAAGGTAAAAAGGGGGCCCGGGATTGGAAATCCGTACAGCTAATTAATCAATTCGTGTCTTCCCCAGAGTTTAGAACCGACCTTACCCCGGGCGGTGACGTTTGCGGGGGAGAAGATACCGAGCCTCGGCTGTCCCGCTAGCTCCAGTTTCCCAGACACCGGGCCCACACCGGGAAAAAGCGTGGGGTCGGGGCCGATTACTGATGCACAGCATTTTGCATTTTCGCTGCCTTGGGGTCCTTGGGGTTCTTGGAATCCTAGGGGCAAAAGTGCAAAAACACCAGACAGGAATTGTAAATTCCATGTAAGGTACGGCTGCATTGTTCTAGGACCCAGCGTCCTGGGTTTGCGGCGCAGCCCCATCACAATTCATATGCAGGGTACTTCACAAGCATAGGCTGAGCAAGTAGGGTTGGTAAATCAATGTTGAGGAATAAATAGCACATAGATGAGAGTCGTGATCGTGTTGACGAGATATCCACGCGAGATGAGAGAAAAAAGAGACTCTAGTAATGCAATCTGACCATGGCCTGTTCCCATGCTCTCCACTGTTGTTTGAGCTTGCATCAATGCTGCTAATGCTGCCAACTCCCTGTGAATAACAATCTTATGCCAGATAAATCCAAGTAAATGTTTGACAACATGTGAATCATCATATCATAGCTTCCGCAATAATAGCGTAGTAAATGAGCCGGGTTGTCGGCAAAATAGACTGTCGTCTCATCGTGATAGAGGAGCCCAGGTAGGCCTAGCTCCTCCCAAAACGTATAATTTGTTAAAATGTGCTGCCATCACAAGTTGTGACAGAGACGCAAACATGTTTGCAGATAAAGGCGTCTGCTTATTTTCTTGACTTCTTCTTCGCTCGGGTCTTCTTCTCCCAGCAGTCATCGACGGCATATTCGACGTCTTCAAAGTCGTCCGGGCTGATGTAGCCGATGAAGAAGACCTTGACATTGTGTTCAACCGTGACAAGTTTGGAGTAATTCACGCGCGATTCTTTGGCGAGCTTTTCTCCCTCTATCGTGATCTTGGCCCGGACTGGTGGGAATCCAAGCTTTGGCTCATCGCGAAGCGGTCGATGGGGCTTGTGGCTGTAGATCATGCCGTGCTTGTGGGCCTTTACGCCCCTCTTGTTGCAAGCTTTGCCTTGATACGTGAGGATTGGCCTGATCTGTCAGCGAAAACTTCCACATGATAAATTAGGCTGACTTACACGCAGGTGCAGTGCCCTTCGTCATTCGCAATGACAATGAAGCGCCTGAAACCGATAAATACAGACCCTCCAAACTGGTCTTGAATCTGCTGCTTTTCGGATATCGTCGAATTCCCTGCGGCGTGAGAGCCGGATGGCTCCGACCATAGAACCTTGAAGACCTATCACACTTAGTCAAGTGAAATCATAACTGTGTAAAGTAACCTACCGATCCGGGCCGGAATTTGTGTGACGGTTCAACGACGTAACCTCCAAATTGTCAGAGTCAGTGAATCGAGGTATAGATGCATATGTCCACTCACGAGGGTCAAGATCTTCAGCAGACCCATGAGTGCCGCTTATGTCAAAGGATGGTGTAGGGCTTTGGCGGCCCTTTGGTGTTGCCGTACCGTCGTCCTCCTCGTACGCTGGATAAGCTGTCTGGGTAATCAGCCATGGGGATGGCACTGAGGACTATGCCTGTTCCTTACCTGTACCATATGCGGGATCCGTCGATGACCCGCCGTGACCGGAAGTCCCATACATCTCGTTGCGGTTCGACATAGCCTCTTCCACTACCGGATCATAGTCATCTAGGTCCGCCGTTGCGTATCCAGAGTCTGCCGACATCAGCATGGTTCAGATCCCTAAGCCGAGTGCCTCACCTTGACTGTATGTAGCCGTAATTGGATCATGAGCTGTCCCATATCCCTCAGACTCGTGATATAGGCTTTCTGCCCCAGCTTGCGGAGGAGCTACTTTGGATTTGTTAGCTGCACAGTTTTTCACAAGATCAACCTCGCTTACATTCTTCATCCTGTAGCCCAGTGGTGCCACCCTTTGCGCCCCAGAAAGGATCTAATGGCGGCGGGGGAGGGTCTTCAGGTGAAGGACTTCGTTCAGCGGGTGGATCTGGGGCGTAGGCTGTCTCTTTTCCCTTCCTAGATCTACCTGAGCTGCCTTGGGATGTCGCCGAAGGTTCATACATGTAGGATGGATCTGCAGCAGGGTTAGTCCCAGCTATGCGATGCTGTCACACAACTCACCATTATGCTCGATATCCTGTCCCTCATAGCCATAACTGTGTTCGGTGGTAGGCGGCAGATCGAGGTTGTCCATGGTTTCCGTGAGTTCGTCTACTGCTCGGGGAGTGAAATCGTCTTGCGGCGCCGGCGCCGGCATCGCAATATCCTGCCACTCATAGTCGTATTCGCCTTTAGACGTCAGCTGCATTCGCAATAGCACGTCGATTCATGACTCACCATTGCTGTTCATGCGGTACCTGTAGTTCTTCTGGTAGTCTGGATTCCACTGCCAATCACTCCACGCACTCCATGTACTCCCACCTCTGCCGCCTCCGCTCTTCGACTTGTGTTTGCTTGACCTGCTCGACTTGTGCATGATTGCATTTTGTGTCGACACTTGGAGAGGTTCGAACTTCGGCGCCGATCATGGGTGGGCCTCCGCGCAAGACCGGGTTCGGGGACGGAGACCGAGTCTTGGTGATAGTGTAAGCTTGAGGCTCAAGAAGAAAGAGACAACAGACAAGCGGACCTCGACAGGCAAGCCGGGCCTCGAGGCCTCGGGGCCACGACAGGATAAAAGGAGTGCCCGCTTAATTGGTTGAAGTAGCTGCGCGGCAACGCGTGACGTATCTTGCGAGATATGACTGGCGCAAAAGCGACAGTACTCTTGCAGGAAGGGGGGTATGAGCCTTCACAGAGCCTGCATCGTCTTGCAGGAGACTTCGAATCCTAAAGGGATGTACTGAGGTGGAAGGTCGGTGCCAGGCTGAGAGGAAGAGTGTGAGGAAGAAGATCGGTCAACGGGAGAGCGTGAGACAGGAAACGGAAGACGGAGAACGACGAGAAGAGGGTGTGACACGGCACGGTTGCCTTTTCTTCCCGAGTTTACCCTCCCAAGTGACTGCCACAGTATGGTCTATGGACCCGGGGTCGATAAGCCGAATGAATGCACTTCATTATCCATCGAGGATTTCCCACCGTAGGTACGTGGAGCAAAGTGGACAAGAAACAACGGCGGCCCCAAAGGCTCGCCTTCTCCTCTTCCAGTCCCGCGAGGTGGTCTCACAGATGGCACCCGCTTGCACACCCTGGTCTCCGTTCTGTTCATTGTATGGTGTGCAACCCAAGAGACGCCACCCCTGGCTGTATGAAGGCCCGAAGAGGTTGCTGGCCGGCGGCGGTTGGCTCGCGTGTTGATTGAAATTCTGTACCGGTACGAAGTGATTGGAAAAGAGACAAATGGAACCAGGCTGCGCTTCTTCGTCCCGTTGTGTTTTGGTGTGGGATGACTTCCCACCAGTAGCGACGACTGCTCGACTTGACCCCGCGCTGCCCGTGTCCACCTGCCAGTGGTGCCAGTGGTGCGCGGTGGTCCTTGTCACTGCCTGGGTGGACCGCCGAGAAGAGCCCCCCCACGGAAGCTCGGGCTCATTAGCTGTGGTGCTGACACATATCGGGACTAGCGTCGGGACGGCAGCAGCTAGCTCCGCAGTACGTACTCTCGTACCCTCCTAGAGCACAGATAGGTACCTGGTTGGTCTCCGCTGAACGACTGGGAAGGCACGAAAGGCACAGGAAGCAGATGCAAAAGGGGGCTAGCACACGGGAGGCAAGTGGATCCGCTTACCGAGAAAGGCTCAAGGGGGCTCTTCCAACGGTGTTGCTCGTCTCGGTCAGCACCCATCGTTTTGTTCCCACGTTTGTTGCATTACTGCTGCTGTTTAGGTTGGTGCTGCCTCTCCTGCTGGCCTGCTTCTGCTGGCATGCATCCGTAATTAGCACTACCTTGCCTGAAGAAGGTGGTGACTGGAACGAGCCGCGTCGACTACGCCCACAACATTCTCAAGTCGAGCCGTCACATCCTTCGTTCGAAATTCATTCCAGCGACCGTCGACGACGAACTCTCCCTTTGTCGCATAATCAAACCCTACCAAGCGATGGAACTATTCCACAACCAGTACGCACCATAGCCTCTCTTCATGGCTACGACCGAAAGCCCCAGACGACGGACCTCCGCCACGAGTTTGTCAGGGGATGCCGAATGCCACGAGCATGCCATTCCATCCGAAGCAACGACTATTGATGCTAGCTATTCCGAAAGCGTTCAGCTCATGCCATCACCACTCTCACGATCATATCCACCACCACCACCACCTCCTCCTCCGACGTTGACACGACCAAATTCTCTTGGCCCCTTGATGGCAGCCCCATCTACATGGCAAAAGCCCGATGCGTCACAACACCATGCTTCTCAATTCTCAGGCCCGAATACACCGCGTCCTCTATCCCATCGGGCCAGTCACGGACACAAACGACCTCACCCTCCGCCTCCGCCTCCGCAGTCCCGAGGACCGCGGCCACCCGTTCCCGTCATGCTCCTTCACCCACCACCACCTCCGCCGCCGCCGCCGCCGTCAAACCTCGATGCTGCCTTCAGGGGTCGAGGGCTGGCAAAGGTTTCGATGCAACGCAGCCTTTCGCCGTCCATGTCTCTATCATCAGGCTCATGGCATCACGAATACACTAGCTCAGACGACGACACAAGCTCAGTAGAGGCAGATTACTTTGAACAAAAAAATCGCGTGGTCTTTCCACCGCTTATGCCCACTGTGCAAGATCGTCAGGTATTTGAGCGAGAGAGGAAACATATCACAGACTCTATTACGGACAAAGTCTCTCGGCTTGAGAACTCACGGAGCTCCGTACCCAGCCTCGTCGATTCTGATGCGTCTTCGGTGGCGTCCATGGCATCCCTGGACGACGGTGTACAGGAGCTATGGGTACAGATGAAGCATCGCCGTCAGCGGGTGAACTTTCTAAAGCAGGACATGGCTGGCCGGCGTAAGGTTCTTCGGGACCTGCGTCGCAGAAAGGATGAAGCCGACAACAACTTCATGAACATGTTGCGCCCAATTCTTGTCAAGGGTCGGCGTGGTCTATCTGCAACATCTGACCAAACGTTGGAGACACGATTTGCCGAGATGCAGGCACTTCGAACGGAATACCACACCTTCGAAGTTGACTACGAGGAACTTGAGGTCTCGCTAGATGAAGAAGAGGAAGGCCTCAATAATACCGAGACACGCTTCTTCAGCCTTTTGGCCGCTGGTAGCAAGAGACAACCCCGGCCAAGGATGCGAGAAGAGGATTCCGAGGATGACGAATCTGAAGAACAACCTGATATACCATATGAACTCACCGGTATTTCCCGCCACGGGCCTTCCGACGATGCCCATCCGCTTTGGCAAGACCTTGTATCTGCCATCGGGGACTTGAACAACGCCAAAGAAGAGTACGACGATCTCCTGCTGTATCACAGGCAATACACGTACAGCATGGATGTTAAGAAATCGACCGGGATGAAGCCTAGCGCGGAAGAAGTCGAATTCATGGACGAATACCCGGAAGAGGAGCGCGAGAAGCGGGAGGACATGGATCGCCTGACAGAAGAGGTTTCCAGGCTGAAGCGGACTTGCGAAGAAAATGGTGCGATGAAGAAGCACCCGTCCTTTGAAATCGCACACGCTCTCGACCCAACTATTGGCGAAGACATGGCGCTCGACAACACTCCCCCAAGATCTGGATCCCTGGCCCATGGCCGGTTTTCCGAACTCTTATCTCGTCCAGACCATGTACTGCGGCCGGAGCCGGTGACTGCCATTGAGGAGGTGAGGCGCGCTGCGAAGATCAACGCGGCGGACCCGGCTACACTGCCGCAGCTTCGAGCGGCTCAGAAGGAGCTGGGCATTTCTAGGCTGATTAGCGAATTCAAGGAAGAGGACAAGTCGGATTTTATCACGCGGTGGCTTCTGCAACAGCTGCGTACTTCGCCAGTTGCTGTTGAACTTCTTTATTCAACGTTCATACACACTCTTCGGCTCAGGATTGGCAACGTACACAAGTGGCAGCAAGACGTTTTGTACCACTGGTGGAGAGACGGTGCTGTCAAATCGCCGAAGGAATTTTTTGGCCCGCTTACAGGGAGTGGGATGGTGTCTCCGGGGCGCGAGGCTTCGCCGGAACACACGTCTCTTCCTCCGGAGCGCGAGGTGCGCATTTCTGCACCATCGAGAGCGGCGACGGAAGACTGGTCGAGTGGCAATCGTCGCATATACCCCGAGGAAGCGAGCCGGTCGACTGAAGTTTATTGATCTTGCCTAGCGAGCGCGTTTGTTTGCTTTCTTCAGTTGGGATGCTGCTGTTTTGGGTTCCAGATCCCACATGTTATTGCCTTGGAAACAGACCTGGCATAAAGGATGATAGACTGTATTTTGGATTGGAGCGATGGATCTGCTTTGTCTGGGCGGCATACTGATACCCTTTGAAGACCCAGTTTTGATGGAATGTAAAGATAACCGAGCGGGCATCTTTCGAGCTGATTGAGATTCAAGGGGTTACCAATACCGGATTATTTTGTTTTGGGGGCATGCTGTTCTATTTCTAGTTGAATACACGTACGGGGGTGGTTTTTGCCTATCTGCTAATGGTGCATCCCATTGCCCATGACAAACCTGACACCAACGAGCAATTCAGTCTTGTCTGGTTCGTATCGTCCAGGCCAGGCCCGTTCAGCCGATGTCTGACGACGGTCTAAGGTACCTAGTGCACCACCTCATGTTCGAGGCTAGCGCGCGGGAGCGAAAAAAAAGACAGACGAACCCCACACTAATCATCTCGGGACGAGCCATGTCGACGAAGAACGGTCCCGTCGCTCGCTGAAATTTGGCGTCAATGTGACAGGTGATGTACCTGGTACATTGGCACTATCGCGCGACGGGTGATGCACTGCGTTCTACAACGGGTCTGATGCGGAGAGCGGAGCAGCAAGCGCGAAGAGGAGGAGAACCTACCCAGGAGAGGGGGAGGGGGGTTGGATGGGGTGGGAGGGCAGGCACCGCGCATGTGATTTACACCGATGATGCGAGCTAGGTAGCTATCGTGCCATTTCCTATCCCACCCCGCTTATGGAGTACCTTTTGATGGACTTGTCTGGGTCGAGGTGAGGGGGAATAATACGTGATGGTTCTTTGTTTTATCGAGCGTACCGCTACGGACACGGAGTACGTGGTCCCCCAAGGCTGGAGGAAAGGTTGTGGCTGTCTGTCATACGCGGCAACCATTTTCGAAGTTCTATGGTATGCATGCGCGCATGCATATCGCGGAGGTTGTTGATGACGCAGGTTCGGGACGTGGATGGGCGTCAGCTTCAGGTTTTGCGGGATTGGAATTCTGGAGGTGATGGCGCGGTGGATTCAAGTCAGCATTTTGGAATTCGAGTAGGTAGGTTGGTGAGGTAGGTTATAGGTAGCAGAAGAGCTACTAGGGAAATGCGGCAGAGCGACGAACGAATCAAGCTTGACTTGTAGGGCTGAAAATGACGGTTGGAATTTGTTTCCAAACATGGATTTTTGGAAATTCCAATTCCTCTTTGTTTCCTACGAGGTACCATACCTGTCATACGTCAAACTACCGTATTGCCCTGAGCTGACCTTGTCTTAGGTAACCAGGACTTTTCAAACGAAGAAAAAAAAAAAAAAAAAGGAAGTACATTATAGGTTTTGATTTCATCTATCCGTGAGTAGTGGTACGTAGGGCAGCAGGATCTGCGTCTGATGCTGCCGTCATGGTCTTTTTTTCTTGGGGGGGAGTCATCGGATGCGTCACTGACAGGAGCTGGTCCGACGGAGGAGACAGAAGCACGGAATATCCAGGGATACACAAGATTGGAAGTTGTGAGTATGTATCTTTCTAGGTGTCTACATTGCCCGGCGGGGAGGACAGGAGGGTCGCAGCCTGCTCCCACGGGGTGACGAATGCTGCACACAACCTTACCTTACCTTACTAAGCCAAGGCAAGGCAGGCTGCCGCGCCCGTATGCAAGTCACCTCCCGCAGTCAGCGTCGGTTAAACGAACCTGCATTGCCCATCCTATCCTACGGACAATACCCGAATGCTGTATAAACGCAGACACATCGTGGCATGCCCTGCAGGCCTTTCTCGAGTAAACGCTACGACGGCCACAGACAGCCCTACGGAGAGCTATGATAGACTGCTCGGTACTCTCTTGATTTGCAGGGCATGGTTGGGTGAGTAGAGCCTGTTCTATCCTGTCCTGCCTTGTCTTGTTTTTGGCACTGGTCCTCTTGATCGAACCTGGCGTCGGTTCGGCTCATGTATGAGAGCAATCCGTATGGTAAGGGGTAGCCAGGTCGGCCGTCGTCGAAAGGAGGGAAACCTTGGGGAGAAAAGTCCCTGCAGGTAACGAGGGGCGGGAGTGGCTTGACCTTGCTCGGTGTGTGCCGCTACGCCCTGCTTCAGATACTGGAGCCAAGTAAGTAAGCTAAGGTGAGGTATCCGCATCTGTAGAAAAATGACTGGATAATGATAGATGAATTAGAAACAAGAAACGGTTTTACCCTTTGCTGGGTGAGATTCGAGTTCGATAAGGTAGGTAAAATCCGAGTTCGAGATTCCCCATGCCGAGAGCATTAACAGATAACCTTAAAAACGACGCGGCCTCAAGGCTAACTAAGTAAGGTACGTAGTCTTAGTTTAGAGACCGGTAGCCGGACCAGGTGCCCGCTACACACAGACACAAACATATAATATAACCACGACCAACAACCATGATGCACTGAAGACGGCAAAAAATGGAAGCAAAATGAATGTACAACAGCATAACATTTTGAACACGGAAAAATCGGTACACATTGCAAAATGAATGCCTCGTGGCGGAATCGAACCGCCGATCTTCTCATGTCACTAGGTACTAGTGAGACGCTATACCACTTAGCCAACAAGGCTTATCCCGTTGATGACTGATTCGGCTGGGTTTGCGCTTCAGTATGGAACTCGCTTGGATCGACTCTTCTCTCTAGCAGGCTCCCGCATCTTCAAGCTGCTTAACGATGCCTAAATCCTCGCGGGACTTCATATGTTGAAATTCTTTTACTTCTGTTTTTGTTTTCATTGTTGCGTAGTGATCTGTCCATGTATGCGATCACTCCGGACCCTCGCCTCCGAATGCTAGCTGATACCACAACGACAAGAAGGTTTACACCTCAGCCATCATCCGCTATTGCCATCGCTGTGCTCGCTTCTAAATGTTGTCCATGTCCACCCGCCTTGTTTTCTTTCCGCCCAGAGCAATGATCGTTGATGATAGTTATGTGTCTTTTTTTGTAGCTAATATACATATGTTTGGTTTGGTATCTCCTCCACGGGGCGGCAAAGCAAGCCTCCAATTAAAAGCCTATCCAAGACTCCTCTGGAGCTCCAGGCCCCGACGCCGGTAAGGTTTTGATAAATGTGTATGTATGCGTTATAACCCGCGTCTGCTTCCACGGGGGTAATCTGTTCGTTGTTGGTTTTGCGGGTGGCTGTTTTCGACCACCGGCTTCATGATAAATATGGTTTTAATGCTTTTTTAGATGTAAAATGCAACTCGGCACCCATACATGACGTCGGGCCTCACGCCGCAGCCGTTCGCCTCCGGAACAGGACCTCGGCATTCGGGTCAGGCGACTTGCTCATCACCATTACCATCGGCTTCGGCCTCGTCTCTCCGTCCTTGAGCTTCATGTCGTAGTTGAGCAAAAAGTACGCAAGCACCATCTTGATCTCGTTCCCGGCAAAGAAGCGGCCCGGGCAGGCGTGCTTCCCGGCGCCGAAGTTCATGTTGGTATCGCTAATGCTGGTGAACTGCCACCTGTTTGCGTCCTCGTCGGACTTCTGTCGTAATTTGAAGAAGCGCAGCGCGTCAAAGGTATCTGGGTTCTCAAAGTATCTCTCGTCGTGCGAGATGCCGGCCTGCGGAGCCAGGAGCTTTGTGCCGGGCGGCAGGTGGGTGCCGTCGGACAGGTCAATGGGCTTGACGACCTTTCGGATGAAGGAGGCTGTTACGTGTTAGTGGTGTTACCCTGAGGGTGAAAGCTTGGTGGGCCTGCTGAGGAACATACTAATATTACCGGCGAGCCGCTGGGTCTCCTTCATGAAGCTGTCGAGCTTCTTCAGCTTCGCCATGCTCTCCTTCCTCGCCCAGCCATCTTCCACTTCAAGAACTTGATGAGCTTCTTCGCGCAGCATGTCCTGCACCTCTGGGTGTGCTGCTAGGTCGTAGATGCAATCCGTCACCAGGTTATTCGTGGTGTGGATCGACGCAGCTGCGAGGATGAGCTGGAGGTGCGCCTGGGACCTGACGTCTCTCTTCTCATCCTCTGGGAGGGCTTCGACAAGCCACTGAATCAAGTCGTCGGGAGACTTTTCAAAGCTAGGCATCTCCAGGTCCCTTAATCTTTCATCGATGATGGGCTTCAGCATGGCGGTAGCCTTGTCAACGTCTTTGCGAATCTGCCGCAACTCCGAAACTCCATACTGCGCAATCGGTCGGGCCCACTCCGGGAAGAGCTGCATCTTCACGACAGCGACGAAGACGTGGATGGCAAAGTTGATGCTGATATCCATCCACTGCTCTTGTCGGTTGACATCGGGGCCTACGAATGCCCGACCACTGATCCGTGCAATGGCTCGTAGCGCGAAGGGTTGGAACTTTACTGGTGTCCATTCTGGGACGTGTCAGTTGGGCGAGGCAGAAAATCTGACTGACGGACTTACCCTTGCAATTCGGAAACTCAGTGGCGACAACGTACTCGAGCTCACTCTTGAGCTGGGGCACAAGCCTGGCCAAGTTCTGCGACAGCTTGCACCGCACAAGTGTAGACAGTAGGTCGGCGTGGTTGCCGAGGGTGAAGTTGGTATATCTGCTCAACATGGCCTCGTCGACGGCCTCTGTGGCGCTCAACACCTCTTCTGGCAAGCTTCTCAACTCGCCAATGAGTCTTGCAGGTACAAGAACCTGCAGACCTTCTGTCGCTTTAATCTGATATACAGTGTCGCGGAACTGAATTGGTGTCAGCAATTGAACGATATGGACTTCTTACGCATCATACCTTGCCATAGCTGTCGCGAATCAACGTCTCGGCGTCAAACATCCACTTCGTCTTGGCGGCCTTGTAGAAGGGCATGTCGGGAAATCTTGGCCTTCGCGACTGGAAGAGCCAGGCTACCACTAGCATCGCGCTGATGGCAACGTAATAACTGATGTGCTGGCCACCGGGCACCACCCGGGGCAGGTTGAGTTCCATTGGCATGG